TCCGACTCGCACCATCACTCACCAATGGTCATTGCTGAACAGCCTAACCGGTCACCGCGAACGCATTCACACTTTGAGTGTGATCGCGCCAATCCGTGTCCTCGACCTTCTCTCATCCGTCTTGTTTCGGGCAAGGCACGATTGGCCCCACCTCAGGTGTCTCAACATCGCGCAGGGATATCCCTCGCGTACTGAGACAGCAGAGTTGTGGAACATCGGGGTGACCGACTGGCGGCATTTGCTTCCCAGTCTCGATCGTCTTTCCATCGTCGGCGTAACCCCAACCCTATACGATTACGAGCTCCGTCTGAAAGAGCTCCATGTCAAGGAAAGCGACTACTTCACACTTGCGCGACATAGCCCTACAGAGTCGGACTATGGCGTGCGATTCACTTCCTACTTTCGGGAGATTCAGAAGCTCAGCATCGTCTCCTCTCCACTTCCAGCCGCACTTCAATTATGGACGCCCTGTGGACACAACCATTACCTCCCTCACTCTTTCGCATCTCCGCTCCGTGGACAACCCTCCCGGTGTCCTCGCACATTCCTGGCCATGCTCCGCATGCCCGCCCTCGAGCACCTCATGATCCACCACCTGCACGGACACCTCCAGGACGAGTTTTTACGTTGGGTGGCAGCCGCCAACGACCCATGGCCATCCCTGCGCCATGCGGATTTCGAATCATTGGTCCTAGATGCCCAGGTTCTCAGGGCATTGGAGTCGGTCGATAAGCTCCGCATCGTTGATGGCGATGTGAATCGCATTCTGCAGATTCTGGAGGCGGATGCGGGTCTTTGTCCCAAGATTGACGAGATTGACGCTGGAGATGAAGTTGGAGTGTTGCAGATTCCGGGTAGGAGTTGAGTCGAGGTGCGTATATTTTATCTGGACTGAGCTGGATTAACGGGACAGCTACATACCCTCCGAGTCTTCCAGTGTATTCAAATTCTGTATACGTATCATTGAGCAGTTAATACACGAACTACATGGGAGCAGTCATTGTAAGGAGGAGGAGGTGCACAGGAGGACGACGATGAGATTGCGGTTATGTGGTTCAAGCGCCCACAGTCACTCGGTTCACAGTGACTTGTTCCCGACCACCATCACATCGTGCGCCCACTCGCTCCACACTTGACTCGTCACTGACCCTCGGCTTAGAACTCACCTATATAACTGAAGAAAAAGATGTCCGGCGCGAGAGGATGCTTCAACTGCGGAGGATGTGCGTTGTCGTTGTCGTCTCGTCTCTTTTCTTTCTCTTTCGTTACAATTACACCTGGGGGCGTTGCTGACGATGTTTTCGATCTTTTTCTCTCATCCCATCCCATCCATATACGTGTCGGTGTCGTCGGTCCACAAAATTTGCTACCTGTCGCGTCGTGTCGTCGTGCGGGGGGTGAATATACTCTCTTGTCCACACCCACAAACTCTCGTGCTGCGCTTTGAAATTGTGCCCACCACCACCCAGTTGGTCACCAAGCGTCGTCGTGCCCCAAGGCCGGCACTCCTACCTGGTAGCTATTCTTGCTCTTTTTTTTGGTCGTCGGGGGTGATGAGGTATGCTGCGTAGCTATAACTGTGGGTCCCTTTCTCCTTGAACGCATCCTCCGTGCTTACCACGCTCCCGCAGGTGGCCTCGAGGGTCACGTATCGCGTGACTGCACCGCGGAGGCCAAGGCCAAGACGTGCTACAAGTGCGGATTGGAGGGACACATCGTACGTCTATCCTGCCTTCTCCCCATTGCTCTCAATGCTAACGTTGCGATAGTCCCGCGACTGCCCCGACGCACAGAGCAGTGGGGGCGGATTTTCCTCGAGCGGTGGAGGTGCGAGTGCCGAGTGCTACCGCTGTGGCAAGGTCGGGCACATTGCACGTTCGTGCCCTGAAGCGGGGTTCGTCTACGTCTTTCTCCTTTTTTTCCTTCTCTTACACCCTTATTAGAGCCAGCGGTGGTGGTTACGGCTCGAGCGGCGGGTACGGCTCTTTCGGTGGAGGCGCGAGTGGGGGCGCTGGTGGCGGAGGAGGCAAGTCTTGCTACTCGTGCGGTGGTGTCGGTCACTTGAGCCGTGACTGCGTGCAAGGGAGCAAGTGCTACAACTGCGGTGGTGTGGTGCGTATCTTTTTTTCCCTCACTTTTTGTCTTCGCTGATGGCGTGTAGGGCCACATCTCGCGTGACTGTTCGCAGGCGCAGAAGCGCGCGTGTTATACGTGTGGCAGCGAAGGGTGAGTATCTTGGTTTTTTGTTCTCGTCCAACACGAAGCTAACTCGCCTTTCTCAGACACATCTCCCGCGACTGCCCTGGTGTTGGCGCGGAAGCTTGAGTGCCCGTGCTTGAAGGAGGGAAGAAGATCAAAATGAGCGAGGTCTTACGACCGATTGACTGACTATTTCTGAATACCAAAGAATGAATTGCTTGCTTGCTTCTTTTCGGGTGAATCTCCATCTTTGAAAACAGACCAGCAGCCTTCGAAAAGGAAGGAAAGCAATGCGATTTGGATTGACAGGATAGCAAGTAACAAAGCAGGGTACGTATACAGATACAGGTATTGTAGATTGAAAGCGTCCGATAGCGTCCATGATGATATGCAGGCATGAAAGAAACGTCCGTCTACAGCACCCTCCCAGTCAAGGGCGCAGCGAGCAGGAACCCCACGAGGCGCGCTTTTGGCGCACCTTGTCAAGGAGGGATATGACTTGGGCTGGGATTTGGTCCTTGACCCGCGTGGGTTTGGGACTGGGGGTAGGTGGTGCGGGTGCAGGTAAGGGGCTGCTCTCACTCGCTGGAGGAGGAGGGACGGAGATCGCAGAGGCAGTGGACGCACGCCGACTCTTCAGCTTGGTGAGGATAGAGTCCAAGGTGGCGTCGGGGTCGAGTAGGGTGTTGGGGTCCTCATCGGGGTGAGATGAGGAGGAGGAGGAGGCGCTGTGTCTGCGGAGCTTGGAGACGAGGGCGGCGGAGACGCTGCAGTGGTGCCCCGAATCGTCCGTGGAAGATGAAGACGAAGATGAGCTGCGAGCGCGACCGCGGAGCTTGTCGAGGACAGCAGCAAGCTTGGTGTGGTTTTGGTGGTGCTCGCAGCCCTCATCGCTCGCTGCGTCCGAAGAAGCGTTGGAGCCTCGCCGAGCACGCAGTTTGTGCAGGAGGTCGCCGAGGGTGTGGTGTCCCTGCTCCTGCTGCTGCTCACCGTTGGGGTTCTGTGCATCGGAACCGCGACGTCCGCGGACAAAATCGAGCATATTGTCGAGGCTGCTGCGCCGTGACTCGCGCCGGCGGCGAGCTTCCTCCTCTTCCTCGCGCAGACGATCAAAGTCGTCTACATCATCCGAGTCACATTCGTTAAAGTCGAGATGCTGACAAGAAGAAGTTAGGAGAGAGTGGACGGGCCGAGGTGAGGAACGTACAAAGTCCCGGAGTTCGGGATGGGGGAAGGGCATGTAGCACCGCGGACAGTGGAAGGTCCTTTGATGGTAGCCCAAGATACGCTGCGGCGGGTTCAATGGGGTGCCCGTGTAGATGAGATGGAGAACGAACCTTGAGAATGAGCACATCTAATCGACGATCCTTGGCATGAATCTTGGGGTGACTCGATTCGAGATGGTCCTCGAGGTCACAGTAGTTGAAAAAGGGGAGTTCGCAGAGGGTGCATTCGAGGAGCATGTTGTGTGATGGTAGGGGAGAAGGTTGTCCGACATTTTGGAATGGGAGGGTTTTTATACCCCGCAAGCCCCTTTTTCTTGAGATAAGACTTTTGGAGCGATTGAGCGGCCCGCATTTGTCTCAGTTGTGCATCCGCGTTCCGGAGTGGAGCAACAGTGAGACATTGGAGCCTGGACCGGCCTATAGGGCGGTTTTCGACTGTTTTCGACTGTTTTCGAGCGTCGGGCTACTCGGCGAGGCGAGCAAGATCAATGAGACCGGTGCATGATGCTCCATAGGAATGAATCGAGGCCGGATGTGCGCGTTTGAGGGTGTGATCGCGTTGAGTGAGGTCAAGAGATATATGGTGCGAGGAGGATGGCAGGCGAATTCCAGATGTGCAATCGAATTCCAGATGTGCAATTTAATTCTCTTCATCCGACTAGTCGCTTGCAGCTGCCGGTCAGTTTTCTATTTGATGGGTCTTTTGGTTCTCCTCTACCTTCTTTCGTCCTGAATTCGAGCGTTCGCTTGTATTTCTTCACAAGCCGGTTATGGTCAGGAGAAGGGTGGTATCGTTGTGGGATCTTCAATTGCAGGACGAGCAAGGAACGAGAAGGTGTTCGAGTTCATTTCCAGCTTAGATGGACGCGACGAGGGATGCAGGCAGATAAGAACATGCATTGGATATGGACGATACACCAGAACCTGACAGCCACTCGCACCTCCACACCATCGCAGTATACGTCGCCCGAGCAAGAGGTCTCGTGAGTCGTAAGGCGGGTGGTGGAGCCAGTATACGTCGCAGTCGTAAAGCGGGTACATGAGGGATTGTGGCGCAAGGGAGGGCAGACATTGTCGATGACCTGGCGATATACGATGATGAAAAGGTGAAAATGAGGGAATCAACACGCACCAAAGCCCGAATTCCTTCCAGTGGACACTAAAACCTCGACGATGTCACCTTGTGGTCGGCCGGAGACTGGGGTTTTAGCACAAAAGAGCATCGGAGGATCGCAAGACGAAACGTTGGAACAGTGTAAGAGCAGGTGAAGAGGTGCGTCATCCTGGCTTGTACCGAAGTCATCTGCCGTTCAGTGGTATTCAACAGTCGCGAGATGGGGGGAGTAACGGAAGGTGGCGAGGGTAGGAGCGGCTATGTTATCAAGGAAGGTCGCGCGAACGGGGCTTGTGCAGCGCTTGACTGCTATTATTGGATCGGCATCAGTACCGCCACATCACTTCTTCCTTCCTCCCACCATCATGGTCAATCAATCGTCGATTCACGCGCGCTCAACGCTCCTTCTTGCCCCACACCTCCTCGGTCGACCTAGTGCCCTTGCGGGCATGATTTCCAGAGCCCCTCTTGTCTAATGGCTATGACGTCAGACTTCTATATAAGGAAATTTCCATTTATGGCGATCTGGAGGTTGCGGGTTCGAGTCCCGCGAGGGGTTGTTTCTCTCTTTTTCAGCCATATTTTTGCTCCCAGAGGCTCAAAACGTCGAAAAACGCAAGAAGAAAAAACAGGATTTTTCGAGGCCACGTCAATCATGCGAAAAACAAGTGCAAACACCTGACTTGCTCTCAACATCCTTCTTCGACCCGAAATGTTCTGTCTTGACCTGGGGAGCTATTTCTGCCCTGTGCCTCTCTGAGCTCTCAAGCTCCAGTTTACTTCAGCAAACTTGCCGCCGACCTCTCAGCCACGATTCCAAAGAACCCTGTGTCTGGAAAGATTGTCTCCGAACTCCGAGTCTTTTGTTAGTTCTTCGTTTACGGAGAATGTTTGGTACGAGTGGCACAAGCCCCCGGCCGAGGTCAAGTTTGAGCAGAACGTTCAACGATGCAGGTCAACGGGAGGGATGATCAAGATTCGAATTGTTCACCTGCTGAACACGGCCTTCAACTTTGACCAAGATGCAGTTTCAGGACGAAATTTCGTCGGATTCTGGCTTTAGGTCTGGGACCGGAAAGTGCCCAAAGCGACTCGTGTAGCTGCATTTTAAATGTTTATCGAGAGTCGTCGTTACAAATGAACCACGATATCAGGCCCAGTTCAAGATGCGCACACAAGTTTGACGAGTAAGCATACAACACACGATAATCTAGGTTCGACACAAGCCCCGACTTGTAAAAATTTGACAAGATGCACTTGGATTCTGGCTTCAAAAGTCGAAATTGCCTGAAGCCATGTAACTGCGTTTATTGACGCGTCGTCGCATAACAATTTATCACGAATGAACCACGCACGATACCAGGCCCAGTCCAAGATGCGCACACACAAGTTTGACGAAAGCATAGTAAAACACACGATGGCCAGCATACATTATCTCTGCGGCTATGAACAAGATGCAACGCGGTCAAGATACAACAAAGCACCCTACTCATGCTCGTCCCCACTCTCCTCCTCCTCCTCCGAATCTGACGGGACATGTAAATTGGCACGAGGACGGGCGAGCGAGACTTACCCGAGGGGACGACGGGGTTGGGAGGCGTGGCACCAGCAAGACTGGCCGGAACAAAGATGGGGACGTCCTTGTTCTGCAGCTCCGCCGAGATCTGACGTATAACGTTCTCGAGAGCCTGGAGGGCGTACGTCGAGAGGACCTGGACCTGAAGGGGAGGGCACGAGATCCCGGCGGCGGTGGCGGCGATGACGTTGGCGCGGTGCTTGACCTCGAGCTTTGCGCGGTTAATATGAAGGTTGGCTAGCTCGATGACGAGCTTGCAAAGGTTGGTCTGGGCGTCGCGCATGGCAGCGGCGACTTGCTGCGATTGGTAGTAATTCTTGATCACGTCAGGCCCGGTTCCGAGGACGTTGGGAGGGAGTTCATGGGCTTGGAAGTTGGCGGAGATTGACTCGTCGTCAAGTATCCTCGGGGCGGGTCTGGTAAACAAAAATCAGTGGGAACGAGTGGAGGTGCAGAAGGTGCCAGCTCGGGTGGGAGTCGTGTCTGGCAGCGGTTAGGATTGTCGCGCATTGCGAGCGCGGGGGATGGACCGCAGATGGTCAGAGGAGGTACGGAGGAGGTACGGAGATCAGATCGGCTATGGAGATTCGCATAGATAATCTTAGCGGGCGCCGCAACTCGGTCACATGTTGGCGTATACTGATTTGCATGACCGCGTCAATGTCCTGAATATTGCGATTGCGGTAGGTGGAGTACAAGAGGTGCTGGTGCGATGATAGAGCGTACAGTAAACTGAAAGGTATCTAAGTTCTCTCGGATTCGCTAGAAAGGCGCCATCGTCCATCAGGGCGGGCCCTCGAGCGCGAGGTAAAGGGAGGCTCACCGAAAAATTCTCATCGTCTGCATCGTCCGAATCCTGCACTGGCTTATATCTATCTGCTGCGTATCGGGTTTGAAGCGAGGAGTGCGAGCTTGCGTGCGTGCAAAGGAGCTTAAAAGGCACCGTGGTTCATCAGCGCGCTGGCCAGGTAACCTAGAGGAACGGGCTCACTGGGTTCTAGTTGTCGTCTCCAAGTCTTCGACGTCATTCTCTGCGATGGCTAAAGCTTTGGGTTCATGCGTATCCAGTTCGAAGTGGGGGAGTCCTAGTGTTGCGTGTAAAGGTTCAACGCTAGAAACGCACCATCGTCCATCAGCGCGCGGCCCTCCCAACACAAGTGAGGGGCTCACCGAAAGGTTCTTGTTCTCGTTCATATCAATGGTCTGCCTGGCCGAGTAACAACGCAGACAGTAGAGACGATGAAACGAATCGTCGGGATAGTAGGGACACTAGTATATCGAGTTGGAGCGCTAGAAAGGTGCCATCGTCCGTCAGCGCTCGAGAATCGGGATGTGAGGGGAAGGGCTCACCGAAAGATTCTCGTCGTCTGCATCATCCAAGTCCTCGAAAGTAGCTTTGGACTTGCGCTGGGCGGTGGTGCTGTCGGCTGCAACGTCGGCCGTGCAGCTCTCGTTCTTGTTCTCGTTGGCAGACGAAACGAGGAGGGAAGTAGTTGCAGTTGGCAAAGATACCTCGGCGGGTTCTTGAGGGAAGGGTGCGGTGGGAGATGTGGTGCTGCCCGCCTGGGTCATTGCATCGGCTTCCTTGATGATCTCCTGTGCGAGCACCGAGTCGTGACGGATCTTGTACGCGTCCTTGAGCTTTTGCCGGTGGCGTAAAGCTTTCCTCGTCGCGTCCCAGTTTTTGGGTCTATACTTGCTCAGCGCGATGGGCATGTAGTTCTGCAAATTGGTGAGGAGAGAATCGAGTGCAGGCGGCAAGATGCTTACCTCGGTGGTGGGTTCTTGAGTGAGGGGCGCGGTGGGGGTCGTGGTGCTGCCCGAGGCGCTGCACTGGATGAAAGGTTTAGCAACAAAAAGAGGGTGAGGAGAGGGTACTCGCGTTGTCGCGGGACTGGGAAGTGGTGAATATCGTCTTTTCTTTGCCCTTTGACGCTATCGACGAGGACTTGGTTCGGCAGGAAGAGGAGGAGGGCGTAAAGTTGGCACCGCCTTCCATCATGCCTTTAATCCTGCCGCGGAATTCGGGGTTCTGGATGTCGGCGGCGAGCTCCCCAGCACGCTTGACATGCGATTTACGGAGGTGGAAGACTGGGAGCTCGAGCGCGCTGGGTTCGAAGTTGGACACGGTTACTTTCCTCTCGGGCTTGGATTTGGTGGTCCGGCCCATGATGGTGGATTGAGTCCAAGAGAGGCGGCTGATCAAAGACTGATGGCAAACAGTCTGTCTCCACAAAATCCATCTATTAGGTAGACAATAAAACCAACAGTAGTGTAATCCAGGTAAGCATGTAGTACAGCAAAGATAGCGAATAAGTTATAGCAAAAGTTCTAGGCCACAGCAACGCGCGGCGTAGCAGGCCTGACCCGACTCCGACTTCGACTCCTGCTCCGCTCACGACCGGGTTTCAAATTCCACCAACGCGTACGAGGAGAGCGCTCAGGGAGACTCAATCCCGCCGGCGCGCTGGCGCTGGGTGGAAGATTGGCCCATCTGGGCTGCTCTACGCTCGAGGAGGCAGACTCGACAGACCCCGAGATGCTGCTGCGTACAGACGCTGCAGATGACGTTGTCTCATCTTCGCCAGTGACGAGCTTGGTAAACGGACTGAGCAGCCGCGGGTCGCGAACGGGGGCGGGGTTGAAGAGAGCATCGATGAGAGAAGCAGTCGCGCCTGGCCCATATGCACGGGGTAGAGCACGCATGTCAAATACTGCAGGGTCGGTGGGAGGACGGGAGTAGAGATCGAGGGCCTGAGGACGCGTACGGTAGACCTCGGAATGGCTCGTGAGGAGCGTTGAGACGCCCGCGAGGATCTCACCGAGAGGAAGAGGCGGGGCGACGAATTGTGGGAGGGTATGTTTGCTCGGTGCAGGCTCGACGCGAACGGACAGGCGAAGAGTCGCGTTGGTCTTGCTGTCAGATAGGAGGTAACGCCGCGTAACGGTGCCCTTGCGCTTTCCCTGGTTGGGGACGCTATCGGCGAATTCGGCAAGGTCGAGCTCGACAGTGCCAAGTCGTGGATTCGCAGGCGCGTCGGGGTCATTCGCAATGACGCGTTGGAGGACAGTGAGCTTGAAAGGGAGCGGCAGGAGCTTGTGGGTGTGACGCTCGATCGACATTTGCACCACAGTCGAAAGCGGCTGCTCCCAAATCACCGAATGCTCGCGTAGGGGAACCCAGGGCGTCTGGCCCCGCGCAGAGGTCGTTTCCTCATGCGAGTCATCTTCCTTCGAGAGGCTCGAGTCCGAGGCAGCTTTGCCTTGAGACGGGATAGAGAGGGTATGGGGATCGTCGGTGCTGGCTTCTCCGCTGACCATACTATGATTGTCGCCGGAAGAGTCGTGGTCAGGCTCAGGTTCGGGCTCCTGATGAGCCCTCTCCTTGCCCTTGACCGACTTGGTGTTCTTGAACTTCCAGCGACACCCAAACTCCCCGCTGACGAGGGGTACACTGGCGAGCTGGTGAATGGTGATACGGACGTCGAAGAGAGCATGTCGGGGGAGGAGGTGGCCCAGTTGGGTTCTCAGCTTGCCTGGGGCGTGGGGATCTTGGTCTGGAGAGGACATGGCGGCATTGAGAAGAGAAACAGGTCAATTCAGTAATATGCGTCTTGGTAAACGTGCCCCATATGGAACTCCTGACAGCGATCAAACCAATCTTCGTCTCAACCAGTTTTTGCTGCTCGCTCCCATTGTTCGCCCGGCTCTCTCTCGCGGTTTTCTGGAATACAAAATTTCCGGCCAATCCAAATCTCCCACGTCGGCGACATACGAACGTTCTGGGATAATTCTTCCGGCGCTCTCACCTTGATTCCGATTTGTGTCCGCAACTGTGGGCGCTAGAACTTGGCTCTACATCTCTTTTACGTCGGACTGCTACACGTTCCCGCCGCCACCATCACGCTCGACGGGCGCCCGTTTCCCGTCAGAGTCCGGCGTTGTCTTGATTCCCATGTGGTACACGGGCGCTTGGTCAGAGG